TTACGTATTAATCCCATAATTCACTTGATCCACTCAATTAGCGTCTTTAATCATTGATTAGTAGCTAATTACGGGCCGGGGTTATTACACGTGTGAGGGTGAGCCATCATGGATTTAAGAGAAGTAGTGGCAGAAGAAGTGGGGAGAAGTGGACTTGAGGGCTAGTGGTTGCAGAAGAGGACTGTCGATGGTGTGGGCACTAACAATTTGTTGATGGCAATGGGCAACAGTGAGGAGGAGGAGATGGTGGCATTCACATTTTTTTTTTACTAATTAAAAAGGTGAAAAGAGATAATGGATGATGGAGGAAAGAGAAAAGAGATGATGGTGTAGGTAGGTAAAAGAGAAAGAGAAATGAGCGAATGATAATATGCCATGTGTGGATTAATTTTTTTTTCTCTATCAAACAAGTTAACTGTGATAGATGGATGGTTAACATTGATACGAAATAAGAAATTCAGGGTTTAAATTGATACAATTGAAATGTTGGGGTTTAATTTGAAAGACATGTGAAACCCTGTTTGTTTGTTTGTTTGTTTTTTTTTATCAATCTGTAATAATTTTTGGATAAATTATAAATGCACCCTTGAAATTTGCTTAAAATACGAATTGTTCCATGTGATTAGGGTTATAAACGATCCAAACCGAGTTAAGCTTTGCCTAAGCTCGAGCTCGGCTCGAAGCTCGATAATGAATTATTATTATTATTAATAATTATATTATTTTAACATATTAATAATATAGTTGTGCTATTATTTATACATATTTTATAATTTAAATAAAGATAAACGAGGCGAGCTTATTCGAGCTCGGCTCGTTTACTAAACGAGCTTAAAAATCATGCTCAAGCTCGTTCATTTACTTAACGAACCGAGTTGTGCCGAGCCCTTAACTAGCTGAGCTCACGAACTGCTCGGTTCATTTGCGGTCCTACCTGTAGGAATTGCCAAAATATATTTGCCTAATTAATACCTGCCAATTTTTCTTATGCTATTCTTGTGTTGCATACATCATATTACTATATCTTGTTAATTCTATCATCTGATAAGCAAGTTGTAACATATGAGACAAAATGGATGAGTGGAACGGGAGATTTGTAGCATTTTCCTTTAATTATTTTAATATGTTAAAATTTTTATATTTGAAAAAATAATTAAATTTTTTTATAATTAGATGTGATATTTGTGAGAAAAAAATAAAATAATTATAAATTTAATATAATTTTATTTTATTAATTATTTTAACCTATTTTAACTTTTTATAAATTTTAACAAATTTTAACCTTTGCCAAATAATACCAGAGAGACCGTACCGTTACTTTGGCTATAATGTGAGAGAGAGAGAGAGAGAGAGAGAGAGAGAGAGAGAGAGGAGTTCCCTTCCCTTGGCCTACATGTTTGTTTGTTACAAGTGGAGAAGTTCAGTTCAAAAAATGAAAAAAAAGAAAAAAAAAAAGTGGACAAGTTCTTTGAGGTCACATCTGTTGCTAATAGGCCAGGACCTCACCTCAGGCCTCATTTGAGAGGACGAGATTTTAGTTAAAAAATTAAGAAAATTATTGTACAAAATTAATTAATTTATTTTCAATTTTTTTTGTAAATTATTTTATAAAAAAATTCAAAAATTATTATAAAAAGTCAATTTTTAAAGCAACCTGCAATCTCAAGTAATTCTTTGATGGGCTCAAGAGTATCTTCAAGGGGTCTAACCACAAAAAAGAAAAAGAAAAAAGGGAAGAGTATCTTCAATGAGAGTTTGGCATTCTCTTATTGGAGTTTGAATGTTTTAAGTCATTTTAAAAAAAATATATTTAGGAATTATTAAAAACATATATTTTTATTAGTAAAAAGGTTTAGGTATGTAATTTATAATTTCTATTTAATCTGATTGATTATATATAATTTTAAGACCAACAAAACTACATTTTATATCTAATCACTTTGGGCTATTTTGGAAATATAGTTAAAAGTAATCTTTCAGCTTTCAACCTTACTTAAATCACATAATTTTTCTATTTTTTTATAAAAAATTAAAAAATATATTTATTTATATCATTTCAAATGTCTCAATATATTCATTTAAATCTTTACCGTTGATTAAGTACACAACTAACTTGAAATTTAAAAAAAAAGGATAATTATTCATATATATGGCCCTTCAACTAACTCGTCAAATTGGTGGAGCAACGTGACCTCATGACAACCAAACACGCGTCGACCTATGATTCGGTCACAACTAGAAAAGATCAGCCTATCAGCACTAACTTCTCAATACCAATTCCTCTCTCGAAAATATCAACTCCCCGAGGTGCCGCGCAAAGCCATCAACGCAAACTTTTATTACAAAACTACCCCCTTTTTGATGGTCAGCTTCTAGAAGAAAGATTACCCATTTCACTGGATTTGCCCGCTTTCAGGAATGGTTTGAAATGATGTAAATAAGTATATTTTTTATCTTTTTATGAAAAAATATACAGAAAAGTAGAGAGATGATGTGATAGAAAAAAATAAAAAAAATAAAAAAATAAATTATTTAAGAGATGCCAAACCACCCTTTAATTTGCCCCTTCCCACCAAAATTTAACACCAAAAAAATAAAATAAAAAATAATAATAGTAATAATAATAATAATAATCTAAAATCACAAATTAAACTTGAGAGTTTCACTATGTTACCATCAAATTTTTATCACCTCTGCTACAATCATCATCACCATCACTTTTACTGATACTACTTTCATGGTCTCATAATTATCACTATTATCATTTCTATTTTATTATTATCATCCCCACGTCGTTACTATTGTTGTTGTCACTACCTTCAACAGTTTCATCTTACTATTGGCATTACTAATTCGTTAATTTTAAAAATACAATAAAACATAAAACAAATTAGTCATTAAAATAAATGGAATGTCATTAAAGTTCATGTTCATTAGGAGTGGCACAAAAAATTAAAAAAAGAAAGTTTATGTTGTCAATATGTCGAGTTGAGTGTAGTCAAATTTTATTGAATTTCATAATTGTATATGTTAATGATATCAATATCACAGATGCAAGAGAGCTATTGGCTGTATTTTACTTGTGTAGTTCATTCGCGTCACACTTCAAAAAATTAAAAAAAAAAAAAATTTTAAAAAAATAAATAAAAACTCATTTAAACTTAGTGTTAATAAATTAATCATTTGTATTTGAAATGTAATTTTAACTCCTGCTTCCTAAAATTGATGTATAAGATGTATCTATATACTTGTATAATGCTATTAGTGCGTATTATATACGAGTCATATTATTTATGAGTTTGATTACACAAATAACATAAAATAATATTATGAGCCTTATAACTAAAAAAATAAATTAAGCCATAACCAAACATCATATAAGGTATAACAAACAAATTTTTAGATCATAATTAAAATAATATCATAATTAATATTACAATAAGTCATAACTAACAACACAATATATCATAATTAAAAACACAAATATTGGAACTAAGTACACACACTCAAAAGAGGTGTGTATTATAGAATTTCCCAAATTTATATATGCACTAGATTTTTGGCACACAACGTGCATGTACAATTATTTTTGGAGCTTTTATAATTGCATTTTATTCCATCTTATTATTAAGAATGACATTTGAAATTATATAGAGTGAAAAAGTTTAGAGATATTTGTTGGTGTTGATTTTTAACTACACAACCAAATGAGAAACTCAGTTAGAGAGCACAAGACAGAATAAATAAAACCAACCACCTGCTTAAAAGAAGATGAGAATACCGCGTTGGTTCGTCCATCCTAGGGCACTCCAATGATTAAGTCAGTCAACTTATCTCTCAAAGACATTAAACAAGTGCTAAACTCACAGAATAATGCGTACCTTAGACCCGCAGGGATGCCTCACTTTTATAACAAGTAGTGACCTAGTCTTCCAAAAGTCTCACTTCATAGGACCCAAGCTCAGTGCTCATCTCGGAATCTCGGCTGGATAGGGAAAAACTCCTCAAAAGCCTTATCTTTATTCAGACCAAGACCTTCTGAACGAGGACTCTTGTCCCTTATTTAAACATCTCAGAATTTCGGTATTACCGCACCGAACCTAAACAATACCGCAACCACCTCGGTAACATGGCCTACCTACGTGGCAGCTTGGCCGACATCTTGAAGGCACCTTGGCCATGTGACGTCTTTCTTAAAATACCACCCCACAATATTATTTAGTGGTCCTAAAGTAATACTCCACACTATTTATCATTTGAAACTTGTTAAGTTGTCTACGGAAAATTCATATTGCCGCTACATATCAAGTTGAGATGCTACATGGACTTGTCTTCGAATCACCAAATAATTTTCCAATAGCTTGAGAGGCATTGGCCTTGTTTGGCTAAAGGCTATTTAGTTAAAATAGTCAATAAAGACAAAATAGGTTAAAATAATTAATAAGACAAAATGCCACATCCAACTCATAATCATTTATTTATTTATTTATATAACTATCAAATTAACTATAAAAAAAAACTATTATCTCAAACAAAACTTTTTAAATCATATTAAAATAACTAAAAAAATCAAATAATCAACTAAAATACTTTATTTCCAAACAGACTGTTGTGAGGTGTAAATAAGATTGAGGACATTAATTTTTGTGCTTTTTCTTAAAGCCATAAATCTAGATTCAAAATGGCTTTTACTTAGGGGTGCAATTCGGGTAGGTTCAACTTGAGCAACCCGTGCTCAGTTGAGTTTTTTTAGGGCTTGGGCAACAATATCTTATAATCTGGACGGGCCTGGGCAGAATATGTAGATAACCCGAGCAACCCAAACCCGAATTGCATTTAATATAATATATAAATTATATAATATATGTATAAATTAAATAGGTGGCCCTTAATTGTTTTTTGTTTTTGTTTTTTTTGGCTGGTCTTTGGCCCTTGGATTAGAATTTTTTATTTGGATCATTAGATTAAAACTAAAAACAAAACCCCACCTTATCTTATTCATTTCTTCCTTCTTTGTCTCAGACTCTCATTTCATTTCTTCATCAGAGTTGAAGAACAGCGGAGATGCAATGGCCATGAACACGAAGTGCAACCACCAACAACGATGGCACCCTTTCAACTCTCAACGATGCCACACAAAACTGGTAGATCCCTCTCTGTGTTTGTATTTCAAATTTTTTATTTTTGATCACTCGTCGTTCGATTACCACTAAAAACCGGTGGATCTATGAGTTTAAAATTTTTTCTTACTGGATTTGCAAAATATGTTTATGTTGATGAAATTTTGTGTATATATTTGGTTAGGTTATCTTCTTCCAGTGGTCTTGGTCTTGCAATCTAAGGCGCTCGAGTTGAGCCACACCCATTCTTCTCTATAGTTGTTTCTTTCTTCTTCTTTGGGACTGACTAGTTGGATTTTAACTTTCTTCTTCCACTCTGTTCCATGTTCTCGGGTCTAGACAAAGAGAGAAAAATGGGTTTGATTATGGAGAGAGAGACAAAGACAGAGACAGAGACAAAGAGTGTTTATGCTGAGAACCAACAAAAAATACCAACCATGGGCTATGCCTGTGCTCTGCTTTTGTGTTTGATTCCAAGTTGATATATATATTATTCAGTAATTTTTTTTTTTTTTTTTATGTGTTTCTTTGGTTATGTTATGCATATGATTAGATAAAGAGGATGATTAGCAACTTCTGATTTATTTGACGGCCATATTTATTTATTTGTTCGTAATGCATTGATCTCAGATTTTCTTGAGAAAATGCAAAAAGAAAGAAGGATATTATTATTTTTTGTTGGTGGGCTTGTTTGAGGTCATTTTCCTTTCAATAAAGTTATATGTGTTTTTTAACTTTGGGATTTTTGTGGTAAGCACCATTTGTTGCCTTGTGAAATTCGGGCTAACCCAAGTTCAAATTATGAAGCTTGGTCCGGGCTTGAGCAGCCAAGCTCTGTTTGATGGTCGGACTTGGGCGAGCTTGGACATTGTCGAACACAATTCAGGCTAGGCCTGAGCAAACCTCCAACCTGATCAAACTCGCCCGAGTTGCACCCTTACTTTTACTGCCATTTCAATAGTACACTGGCCTCCTTTAGAAAGTTGACTATTTTAATTTTTAGTTATTTTAGTAAGTTAAAATATTTGTATTTAAGAAGATGATTAGATTTTTTTTATAGTTGAATGTGATGTTTATGAGTGAAAAAATGAAATGATTATGAATTTAATGTGATATTTTGTTTTATTAATTATTTTAGTCTATTTTATATTTTTATGAATTTTAATCCCAAAAGTGAAAGAAAATCCTTTACCAAACAAGGCCAGTGGTATTGTTTTATAAAGTTGATTAAAAGTAAATTTTTTTAAAAAAAATTTATAAAAAAATAAAGAGAGAATATAACTGAAAAAAATTAAAAAGTTCAAAAATTTGCTTTTAAGCCATAGTAAAAGAAGCTTGAGGGCATTATTGTGAAGTGAAAATTTTAAAGAAAAATTAAATTTAGATTCCAAGTAAAGCAAGGGTAAAATTGTCATTTAATTTGGGAATGGTGGGTGACGGTTGCCGCGTAAATATTCGAACACTGAAAAGGTCCAGCCCCCAATATATATTGCCGCCGAAGACCCTCCAACTTACGCATAAAATCTCTCAAATTCCTTTTTGTATTTTCCCGAGAAAATTTTCTTGGGTCTTCCCTATATTTCTGGAATCATAATTCTCGGCTACCAAACAACATGAAGAAATCAGGGATCCTTGCCGCAGCGTCCATGGCCGCAGCTTCAGCCACTGCCATCTCTTCTTCGCCGTCTTCGTCAACTCCCTCAACCTACTCCAAGTCGCAAAGCTCTCGGGAGGTGAATTTTATTTTCTAATCTTTTGTTGTGAGAATTGAGTTTTTGTGGATTGAAATTTTTCGGAAGAATTATGCCTGTTTGGCTGCCTGGAAAGGGAAAGAAAAAGTACGGATCTCTTTTTTTCCACCACTTTCTCAACCACCGAACAGAGATCCGTCTTGTGAAAATCAGTTCCCAGACTTTTCTTCATTCGCTTTTCTTACATACCTACAGATCTTGATTTATTGATGAATCTCATTTTTTTTGTGTGTGTGTGTGTTTTTTTTTTTTTTTTCCTGAGAATTCCACTCTCTCTCTTTGAAATCGGATACTTTTACTGATTCTTGATTTTTTTATTTGTGATAGGAAGCTGTTTCGAGCAAACATAGTGATAATTATGTGGCTTCTGCGGATAAATTTGCGCCCAGATTTGATGGATTGAGGTTCATTGAAACATTGGTCACAGCTCACCGATAAGCTTGATTTTGATGATCCATTAGTGTACTCTCTCTCTATAAATTGTGACTCTTAAAATAACTAAAATTATCAAGATTTACAATGATTTTGGCAGATTATTAGAGAGAGAGAGAGAGAAAGAAAGTGATGAGTTGAATTGTACTGTATTCAGTTGTATCTTTTTTTTTCTTTTTTTTTTTTTTTTGCGCACTTTTCATCCCCAACTTATTTTTTGTTTTGGGATAGATGTACTTTTTTTTGATTTAGGAATTTCTCCAAATTTATTAAGAAATTAAAGGTTTGTTTGATTGTTGGAATTGTGTTATGAATTTCAAGATCTGTTAATATATAAACGAGTTTATTCAAATTTGTTTGTTGGAATGGAGTTATTTTATGTTGGTGCTCTGTTATGAATTAGAATTAAATCAAGATCTAAGAATTGAGTTATTTTATGTCGGTGCTCTGTGAATATATTAATGAGTTTATGCAAATTTGTATATAAGCATTGAACTGTACGGTTTATGTTTCAATGTTCGATTATAAAATATACTTTTTAAGGAAAATGACCAAATTTGAATTTTCATCATAAAAATAAAAATTGTAGATTTTTTGAGTTATTTTATTGGGAAATTAATAGTTCAATGTATATTTGGAAAAAAATAATAAATTAATAATAAAATTTACAAACTGGGGTTTGTGTTTTTTTTTTTTTTTTTTTTCCTTCTCTTTTTTTCCTTCATGTTCTTCCTCTGTTCTTTCTGAATTCAAAATCAAATCAAAATAATTTTTTTTTTCTTTTTCCTTCTCCCTCTTCTTCCTTTTCCTCCTTCTCCCTCCTCTTTTTCCTTCCTCTTCCGGTCGGCCTACAGTTTAGAAAGAAGAAGAAGAAAGAAGAGAAAGGAACTCAACTCTTCTGCTTTACTCAATTGTTGTGTTGTGAACCAAAACATTTCATTTCACAAAAAAGAAAAAGAAAAAAGAAAAGAACAGAGAGTAAAGAGAAGAACACTGACTCTCTGTTTTCTCTTGGAAATAGAAAGAAGAATGAGAAAAGAATAAGAGGAGGAAGAAGAAAAGAAGAGATGGAGAACACAGAGAGAGAGAGAGAGAGATACATAGATCTATGTGTATATACACAGATCTGTGTATACACACAGAGAAGGGTCGCGATAGGCGACGGTGATGGCGTGGCCGGTGGGTGGAGGGAGTTCTGGCTTTGTCTCTCTCTCTGTCTCTCTGTGTGTGTTCCTCTTCCCTCTTCTCTCTTTCTTGTCTCTTCCTCCCTCTTCTCTCTTTCTCCCTCTTTCTTCTCTCTCCTCTCTGTTTCAGAGAGGAAAGAAAGAAAAAAAAAAGGCCAAAACGATGTCGTTTTGGCATTCAGGCCACTCGAGCCTTCAAAATTTCATGTTACAAAGCAATTTTCTTATTTTGAGAAGAAAATACTGATCTTTAAATTCTCCTATTTTATTTATATAAGTAAACATTTATTTCTTTAAACTGTACATAAAATAATTCTTAAAAGAGAATGCCAAAATTTCACAATTAGAACTTAGAATTCACTCACAATGACATGGTAATAAAGAAAAATTGATTTGGTAACAAATACAAAATTAACATGGATCATACCATACCATACTATTAAGATTAAATAAAGAAATAATTTTTAGGAGCCTCTCCGTTTTTCTTTTATGATTCATGAAACAACATTCTGCAATTTACACTTGGATTTTGCTTTTTACTCTCGTTCCATAATAACTTTTGTGACAATTTGATTGTGGCATTTTTTATAATTTAAAATTATTTTGATAATTATTATATTATAAAATGAAATCCCCCCGGGCCGTTAATTGTCTACATAATTATACTAGAGTAGCTAGCTTGCCTTTTCGTATATATTATCATAGGCTAATTGTTGTTTTAGGAATTAATTATTTTAATTAATTTTTTTACCATTTTATGAGAAGGTATATAAAAAAAATAAAAGCATTATTATTGTTTTAATAACTTTTTCACTATTTTAATATATTGCAAAAATAGGATTAAGGGCTATTTTGGGAAGTTGGCTTTTAGCCACTTTTTTTGGTTTGTAGCAAAAGCCAAAAGTTGGCTTTTTTGTCTTTTTTTTTTCATTTGGGAAGTTGGTTTTTAGCCAACGGTGAAATTACAATTTTACCTTCATGGGTCAAAATGTGTTACATAGGTGAAATTGTAAATATTTTAAATAAATAGGGGTAGTTTAGTCATTTTATTATGATTTGACATCATAAACAAACATTAATCAAAAAAGTCAAAAGTCACTTTTTACTAACTTTCCAAATCATTTGTCTAAAAAAATAAAAAACTTGGTTAAAAGTCAAAAAATCACTTTTTACCATCTTCCCAAAACAACCCTTAGAAAGTAAAATGATATTTCCTCTATTGAATTTTAAAGAAATGTATAGAAAGTAAGCATTTTAGCTAAATTAAATTAAAAAATAAAGTAAAAAGGTCAAACATTTCTTTACTCTTTCTACTTTATATATATGGAAAAATGCTTGGGAGCACTAATTAGGTGGCAATGGGTCCCGCCATTAATGATGTGATGTTTTGATCTTGGAATTGTATTTTTTTTTTTTTTACTTTTTAATGCATTAGTGCTATTAGTGGTGATATTTTTAGTGGGATGAATCATTGTTGATATATATGTATATATATATTTTATAAAAAATCAAAATATTATTCTCAAAGTGCTAATTTTTTTTTTCACCATATATTTTAACTAAAATTTTAAAAAATAACTTCAAAAGTCACTTTCCAAAACTTTAAAGTTATGTTTAGTTGGAAGATTTGACGAGAAAAATAATAAATAAAAAAAAATAAAAAAAATGGGAAAGAATTGATGGAATTTAAATTCCGGTTGAGTTGAGAAATGAAATTGTTTTTTTTTTTTTGAGTGGACTTAAAAACAAAAAAATGAGATGAGATATTGCTTTTCATTCCTATTTTCTTTTCTCCTAAATATTTTTTATTATAACCAAATGAAAAATTAAATTACATTTTATTTTCTCTTTTCATTTTTCTCATCAAATCTTCTAAAACCCCGCCTTATTATCTGATTTTTGTAATATTTTTTATTCTTATAATTACTTTCTTGCTAATTAAAAAAATTGTATTTTAAATTTCATCATGGATCTGTATTCTGTTAAAAAATAAAAAATAAAAAAATCATGGATCTGTATTGTATTATTATATTCACTCAACTACCCAAAGGCCAAAACCCAAGAAAATGCCCAAATACCAAACCAAATGAACTCACCACCAACAAACAACAGAACAGACCAAAAGTGGGGATTAGGTAGGAGATACGAAAACCAAACAAAGACTCCCACCTCCCATCTCTCTCTCTCTCTCTCTCATCTCTACCCTCCCTCCTCCATCCCAACAGCCACCATGGCCACCTTATCCCTCCACTCTCCACCATCCATCTCCTCCTCTCTCCACCACAATGCCACCACCACCACCACCCGCCTTACCCTACGCTCTCCCTCTCTTAACCTACTCACTCGTTCCCACAAACCACTCTCCATCAAGTCCCAATCCTCCCCCCCTACTCTCACCCAAGACGACCTCAAGAAACTCGCCGCCGACAAGGCCGTGGAGTACGTCCGCAGCGGCATGGTCCTCGGCCTCGGCACCGGCTCCACCGCCGCCTTCGTCGTCTCCAAGCTCGGTCAACTCCTCTCCTCCGGCCAATTAACCGACATCGTCGGCGTCCCCACCTCCAAACGCACTCAAGAACAAGCCGCCTCCCTCGGAATCCCTCTCTCCGTCCTCGACGACCACCCAAAGCTCGACCTCGCCATCGACGGCGCCGACGAGGTCGACCCCAATCTCGACCTCGTCAAGGGCCGCGGCGGCGCGCTCCTCCGCGAGAAGATGGTTGAGGCTGCTTCGGACAAGTTCGTGGTGGTGGTGGATGACTCAAAATTGGTGAGTGGTCTTGGTGGGAGTGGACTTGCAATGCCTGTGGAGGTTGTTCAATTTTGTTGGAAGTATAATTTGATTAGGTTACAGGAGTTATTTAAAGGGGAAGGTGTTGATGCTAAGCTTAGATTGGATGGTGGGAAGCCTTATGTGACTGATAATATGAATTATATTGTGGATTTGTATTTCAAGACTCCCATTAAGGATTCCGAGGCTGCCGGGAGAGAGATTTCGGCTTTGGAAGGGGTTGTGGAACATGGGTTGTTCTTGGATATGACCACGGCGGTGATTATTGCTGGCAAGGATGGAGTGAGTGTGAAGTCCAAGTGATGGATTTGAAGAGTTGGGTTTTGGTGAGAATTGAAAACAAACTCTATTTTCCAATTTTTGTGATTCTAATATATGATTCCTGTTTACTTTTCATTGCAATTTTGAACTCCTCTGTTGTCATCTTCTTGTTGTGTACTAGATACTTTCTATTTCATTGCCATGTTGAATATTATCACTAGCATTGCTTCTATGCTTTTATAGAACATTGTGTTATTAGTTGAAGATTTTCCCTCCTTTTTGAGCCTGGGATGTAACTTTTTGATGTAACATTTGGATATGTAATTAGAACCTTTCTTTCTTTTGTGCTTTTCAAGTTATTAGACATATTGTATTTTTGATAGTTGTCAGAGGAGTTTTAATTAATTCAGTTTTCATTGTAAACAAGTTAAATAAATGTTAGATTTCATTTTATCCTGTATAAAAATTGTTTTAAATTGCTACTTGGTTGAAAATGAACTAGGAATGAGTGCCTACAGGAACCTTGGACTATTCTTTCCGGTACCATTTTTTTTGGGAGCCCTTCATGATAAATCAAGATTGTATATGATGTAATGATATATATACTAGTGGCATGGGTGTCATGCTTTGCATGATTAGCCATGCCCTTGATAGGAAAAAAAAAGTTGAATTGTTACGGTTCTACAAGTTCCAGAAATTATGTGTAATCCAATGTTCACTTGTAGCAAAGCCAATAGCAAAGTATGAACCATTTCTGTTAAAAATGCTTCAGGAATCGCACTAACACCATCCTCTACTACGAATCAGGTCTGATTTCAAGGATTTTGTACTAATCAAAACTCCAAAAGCAAAAAACAAATCCATTAAATAATCATAACTACATTTTATGTTTAACTGTAGTCATTTTCTCCTTTTGAAGTTTTAGTGAATATCATCCAATCCAAGGCTTGATTAAAAGCAAGTTTTCATATTCCTGGAATTCAGTCTGTTTCATCTACCTTCTTTCTTCATCTTTTCCATTTTTAACACCTTCGCGCACTTTCGTTGAAAACTTTCCTTTTCAACACCTTCTCTCTTCAAACCAAAGTTACCAGCAATTAGTTTAGCACTTCCTCT